AACTTGTCCGAGATCTTGAATTCCAATAATCATACCAAGTTTCAACAGAATCGGATGAAAACTGTAGCTTCAATCCTGCTCACGAACAATTTTGTAACTAATTTCAAGGCGTTCTAAGTCAAGGGCAATATCTCAAAAAGCGTTCATCGAAAATATGTCAAATTCGAACTTGACCGAGATCTTATCAATCTAAAGCATCACACCAAGTTTTATCAAAATCAGATAAAAACTGTAGTCTCTATAGTGCTGACATTAAATGTTGACGGACCGACGGACGGACGGACCGACGGACAGGGGCAACGACAATATACGACGACATATTCATGTGGGCGTCTAAAAAAGTCCTAGTTTTTCTCTACACCAGTTGACAACTTTCAGCTATCAGAGGCTTGAATAGAGGTAGATGTTTCGTTCTACTGGTGGCTATGACGTAACAATCACGAAACTGCAAATTTATGGTTAGATTTTTTTTGTAATAATTGTATACCAAATAATTTACAATATCAAACGCAAAGTGGCATCATGTGACCCAGAAGAGTGAGCATGGCATGCCTCTCTTACGATACCCGCTACATTTACAATGGAGTTCAAATTCTATAAAGTTTTAGAGATATGATAATAAACACTTTTTTTCATTGGAGTCAGACTTAGGTCCATTACAACCAGACTGCAATGTTCTGTCTAACATTCAGCCCATTCAGTGAAACATTCAAGATCATAATGCTTATTGGTTGAAGAATGACCTATTATTACATCCTCCAGGGATATAGCAGGTACAAGTTATAGTATTTGACATAACTCCCCGATTTATTGACACGAAATCTATCGATCACTCAAGAAATAACATTCACATCTAAAGAAATGTAAATCAAAAATACGGTTAAAACATAATAGTGCTCTAAAGAAGCACGAATGGAGTGTTTATTAATAAAAGGCATTGGATGCAGTAAATTTCAATGGCCAATGATCTGAAGTAGTAACAGATATGAAACAATGATATTAGATTTTACGATTTAAAAGTATGTGAAAGTTTTGAATATTGTCCATAAATACAGGGGAGATAATACCGCTGTATTTCCAGAAAAGATATTTCCAATTTTATAACATTTGAATCCGTGTGAGACGGTGTCATTTCTTAAATATTTCATCTGATCAAATAGTTCATCTTAGTCTGTCTCAGCCCATCGACGACTAATATAATCACATTGGAAAATGTGGACTAATCTTAAGGGATATGGAATCGCAAAAAAAGGGTTATTTTACTTGCAAATAGCGATGCGATACCGCTTAAATTGATCCCTGCATGTTAAAAAGCTTTGACCATAACAGGAAAAAACCATTTCTCTGTTTATGGTGATGGACTGTTCCCTTAACCAAGATAATATAATTTCCATCTAAATCTAATTTCTCAAATAATTCATTCCAAAGTTGTTTTCTTCTATATCCGGGATAACTGAAATCTATGTAATTGTGACAAATAGGTGAACAAGTATTTTAAAATTCTAAACTTACCGATGGATCATTGATTAAAACCCACTAACATTATAGCCCATATAAAAATCAATGTCAGGCCCACTCTTGCACAAAATTGATATTGGGATAGTCCATTGTGACATGGTGGATTTGAACGATGGTGTGACCAACTTACTATCCTTGTTGGAAAGTGGGTTGCGCTATTATTGCATTGATTAGGGGAATCTTCCTGAAAGAATTCCATAATTCTAAACAATGAAATCTTGATTAAGATCAAGGTAGGGTAATATAAAACTTTAAGACTATTTTGCTCGAAAATTTCAAGACAAGATGCAAAGCACTTAGAGAATATTGAAAGAAGGATAACAAAGATTTGCGTAATTGTATTCTCTTTTGCTCCTATACGAGTATTATGGGTAGAAATGACGGCTATTAAGTTTCGTGGACATTCTGGCCTACAGTAATCAATATTATGCTCTATTGTTGTTCTTCTCCAAGCACAACCAGAAAAAAGTATATCAACAATATTTTTGATACGGGCAATATTTTTTCTATGGTTAATATTTTATAAAAAAAGATTGTTTGAAGACAACTAGTATCGATTGTATATTGGAATTTTAACCTTTTTTTTTTTATTTAGTTTAAAGGGGACTATAGATACATTGATTCGTTATTGACATTCAGACAACTTCCTTAGGTTGACGTGGACTAAAATAATACAGATGATCAAATTGGATTGCCGATACGACAAGATTTCATGTATGTGCGTAATATAATGCAATATAATAAGAAATTGGAACATATCTAATATATCCATGTTAACATATGTCAGAATAAATCCATGCGATAGAATGTTACATTAAAACGCTTTCTGTGCTTTCGTAACAATGTTGCAACCTTTATTTCCTAATAATGAACATCTTTACTTCTCAATATTACTAGAAACTCATTTTAAGTAATTGACCACAATATAAACCTACTGACCAATACGCGATGGTAATGTATTCACCTCTCAAACCTTTCACAAAATTAACTAGTGCCAACCAGGGTCTCCAGGGACTAGGTTATTGCTTTCTTACCCAATGCTTATGGTGTGTGCATGTGCTGGGAAAAGAAATATATGTCTCAGACATTCGAGTAATTTGGAAGTTTTGCAGAAATTTGTTGCAGAAATCGGGTATAAGATAGCTATTTATGAATGTGTGTTTTGAAATTTTAAATTGAAATGAAAGTAATGTCTCTGTAAAGTAACCCTGATATAGAAATCGAACATAATAATGAAATGATATGGAGTTTTACGTCTTTCTTTTCATGCTCTATGTCAACTCGGCTTTTTAAAGCTTACTGTAATAAGGCTAAGAAGTATACAAATCCATCACCAAACACAAAAGCAGACCATGCTTACTCTTTTCTTCTGGTTTGAGAAGTCCACTACTGTATACAATTATTTTTCCCAAATTTGTCTTGTGTTGGACGAAATTTTTGGTTGACGGAATTGTTTTGTTTGTATTGTTTGTACGAATTCTTAATAATGTATTGTCTCCACTGTTACAGTACAAACAAAGAGTGGTTGTAACAAAAATATATAGTTGCAATTACGAAAACACAGGCGGAGATGAAAATTCCGAAAATCGAAGGCACAATTAATTAATAATAAAAATTATTACATAATTATAAAATAGAAATAGAATAAAATATGGGAGCTGGAGGTTGTAGTTTCCTATGAATAAATTAAAAATACGTATATTAATATTAATTCTAATGAGTTATGGCTAAAATATCATTCCAATTCTTGTTGCGATTAAAAGCAATAACTAATCTTTAAGAAAGAGTATCGTTGGAGTTCCCTGTTCAGTTCTTTGATAATTTGGTGTGGCTTGACAAGTTGTTTTAAGTGTTTAGTTTATCTCTCAAGTGTCAATTAAATTAACCAATATAAACACAATAATGTATGAAGGACATAGAAAAAGACATCAGATATTGATGATAATTACAAGAAATACCATCAAATATTTATTAGAATGAAAAGATATACCTCCTATTTATAACTGATCATATTAAAGGAATATTACTTACAAGAATAAACATCCAATTCAATTTCTCAACAATATCAATAATAAATGGAGTAATTGGATTGTATAGGTATTGTGGTGCATGGTTATGACACCAGGGTAGGTTTACTACACTCTAATTTGTCAAGTATGAACATATGAATTTAATGTGCTTTGCAAGGGGTAATATTCTTTTAAATACAATAGTGAACAAATAATAATAATAATAATAATAATAATTTCAAACAAACCACCATATTATATAAAACGTGTGCATATCTAATTAATAAAGTGTGGTTTTATTTAAATTCCGTAAGTTAAAACTTCCTCACGTATTGTATCGGGTGAGGCACAGATACATAGCCGAGTACATTTGTAAAACAAAAATTGAACATAGAACTGATCAAGCTAAAAGTTATGTTTTGTCTACATGGTTTTACAAATGCTAAATCTGAGGATAGAAAGTCACAATATACAAATTTGATGACCATGACGACATTATCAACTCTGCACCCGACAAAAACTGAATTTTTTTTTTCCTGAGTACAAAGTTTTATAAGAGATACTGTCTTATAGAAGCACTGGCTTAGGCCACAGAGTGTTATACTACTAGTTAAGAAGTAAACCATGGGAAAAATTCAATGTGAAATAAAAGCACCTGCTATCTTTTACATCCCTGGAACTACTTCAGACAACTTGTTTAAATTAAGCATATTAAATATATGCAACGGGTTAGCCAGAGGAGGCTTTCAAACATTTAAGAAATAAAATTTAATTAATTACTGTTGTATGCTGTTTCAATGTAGCCAGCCGATACATCCCACTAGTGATCATTTTTTAAAGAATAAGGATGAACTTAAAGATGGTGCTGTATGGTAGTGTAGTAATCTACAATGAAAGTGGTTGAATGGATCTGGAACATTTTTTAAGTGGAACAAACATTTTGGTAAAATTGACAATCAAGAGCCATGTTCTTACAATAATCGTGTTCATTATTCTCACAGAAGAAGCCACCAACTATGCCAGGTCAGGTTGTGAATGGTTTTGCTAAATGTAGTATTTGGCCAAGCTCGCGAGAATAGCTTAACTTTAAACAACTAATTGATTGATAATGTACCCATCAAGGCAAACCACGAAGTTGGGGTCGCAGAAGAAACTGTACAGACCACATCCAAGGAATCCCCATTGGTTTTTAGAGTAGCAGCCTGGAGCATATGTTTAGAAGTCTTGCCGGTGCAAATAATCTTAACTATTTCTAAACAAGCAATATGAAATAATGGTGGAAAAATAGTAAATGTCTTGGTGGGTTTTCTAATAATGAACATCGTTAAAGATTAACAAACAACAAAGAAAGGATTAGATGATGGCTAAAGTACCACGGTCTATTTATATGACGAGCGTTAGAGTTCGAGATGTTAATTGTTTTAAAATTCAAGGCAACAAACAGGCCCAAGTAAAACAATAGAAGGCTTAGTCCTAGATCCTGTTTAATCGGAGCTGAACTTTGGTGAAATCATTTCTGTCACCGAGATCGTCCAACCAAAACAGAGAGCTTTCGAAATTGGTATGATTGCGTCTACCATTTGGATTTGCTCTAGAGCAATTAGCCTTATTCATAAACCAAAATCCACCTTTAAATCTGTTAGGACAATCGTTGCCAGAAATGTCGTTGTCATATGTAGAGAATGGTCGGCCTTCTAAGCTGTTTGGTGCAACTGTTAATGAATTTCCAATAGGATCAACTGGAGCACCGTAGTAAGATCCAGCCGAAAATTTGTAGCCAGTATCATGATCACTAAGACTAAAATAATTAAAGTAGCCTTGCCATCCACGATAACCATATTGGAAGTTGACTTGGAGAGCAATTGCTGGGTAATTCTGTAGTATATTATACACGTGTTTTAATCCTAGCCAATATTCGCCGTGTATGTATCCAAATCCATTGACATAATCAATCCAATTTCTGTTGAAGTCAACTGGATCACAAAGAGATTCTCGTAACTGAAAGAGAGTTATTCCACCATAGTCGAAATTACACTTAGCCTCGATGATTTCCCCTTTAGAAGTTGGTTGAATGTAAGAAATAAGACTGGCTTTTCGAGCAACATTCCTATGATGACCGTCACTACAATCTGGAAGATAATGAAATTTTGTACATGTACTTGCATGTCTAGAGAAAAACTCACCTAGTTTATGAGCATTCGTATGGAGAGGGCATGTCAACGGGCCTGTGCTGTACTGGTAGTATCACAGTTCAATTGCAACATCTGTTGCTTTATGATCATACTTGGATCATTCACTTGGCGTGGATTTGGTATGGTGACGGCAGAAGATGGAGCTTGTATCCACACCTTACACTGCAGATATGCTGGTTTTATGTCTTCACCTAGTGTTTGAAGCCGAGCTCTTTCTTGGAGTTGTGGTATCTCTCTCAACGATACTCATCGATTGTTAATTTGTTTGGTTTTCTTGAATCCAGATTCAAGGATTTTTCAGTATAATTTATCATATGTCGTGATAGTTCCTCTACACCAAACTCTTCCAGTGGGGAGAGATCCATGGAAATTTGAGAGTAGAAAAGGAATGTAATGTGGTGCATGTAGAAAACTGTAGCTGGTACTGGCACACAGATTGTAGCACTCACAAGCAACCAAGAAGAAGCCGATGACACAATCATGTTCCATATATTATTGATAATGGTGTAACACAGGGTTCAACCGGTCTGGGTTGACTCATCTAACACGGTGTCTTTGTCAACCTCATCTTCCACTTCAAGAACCTGGCAATTATAAAAGCTTGGTAACCGGAAAAGCAATAAAACTGTATCGGTTCTTCTGGTAGTTGATCAACTGGATAATGTACGGAAGCAGCCATTGATCTCTCGCTTCTGGAAGAGTTTGGTATTGGTGAACTGTGCACAGATGATAAGTACTGGTGAAGAATTTCCTGTGTCTCGATTAAAGAAGATCGACTATTCCACTTTCAATAAATATCGAAGCAGTACCACAGCAGCATACTTGCAGTGTAAGATGAAGATACAAACTGGAGTCAACAAACTAGATCCACGCAACAATGATCATAAAGCAACAGATGTTGCAATTACACTACTACAAATACTCCACATCTTGGTATGCTTACCAGGACGGGAACGTGTAAAGGAATCGACATAATCTACATAATTAAACTAAAATATGGACATTGTGCAATATTATAACTGTTAATATCACAACTGGCCCAGAACTGTAATGTGTACCACGCTGAAATCAGTTTTTGGCAAATATCTTAAAAATTGTTGAAATGACCACTCCGGACATTTTGAGTGGTCACACAACCTCGTCCAACAGTTTGAAGTACAATACTGGTGGGTCGTAGTATACTTAAAAATGAACCATTTCACCTATTTCGCCATCAGTGGCAAACGTGTTACCAACAAAAAATTATTCAATGACATTCCATATAATGATTTTTTGGAGATTTTAGCTCTGTATATCCAAATCCATAAAACAACACCGTGAGTTACTAAATGTATTTTTTTCTAAATAGATACACGATAGTAAAACAACCTGTGATTTGATAAAGGTGACGATTTCAGGTGTAAAGTTGGGTCTCTTCATTTTGTACTTGTCTTGTTAAAATAATTACCATTTCGACATTTGGCTTTGTTCCAAACTCCTTGATGATGAACCATAAGGCAAATTCGCGGCAATTTGCTCCATTTATGTTCGACCGTCAAATGATATGTGCTAGTTTCATTTAGCCGATTGTGTTTTACGAGGTTTTATAGTCAGGTTATAGAGCGACCATTTGAAATATTCATGAATTATTTAAGGAATGACATGAAAAATGTTCAGGTCATTCCTTATAATTAAATCAACTCGAATACGTGTTTAAATGTTTATCTAAAATAACAACAAACTAAGGAACAAAATTGACAAATAAATACCATAACTTCAATGAACTGATACTAACAATAGAGACGTCCTGAGAACAGCCCATCAGCAATAAGTAGGTCACCTGTTTATAGTCTACTGCCTACTGCTTGAAAGTTGACGGAGCGACCACATTTAAAGTTCAATTATTGAAAGACGAGTTCGAAATAAGTCCAGTCATGATTTTGTTGATATTTGGAGAGTGCACATTCGAATTTGGAAAACACCGTAATCATTCAGTGAAGTGTCGATTTCGGCTCTGGTGACGTTCGAAGAACTAATTAAACTCAATGATAAAAGTAGTCCGTTAAGGGGCGGAGCATATATTTACATTCTGTTTGCACAGATATAAACCGAATGCACGTGACCGCTGTTATCCAATCAAATTGCGTGATACCGTGTAAACTGAATCGTGATTTAATTATAATATTTTAATCGTAGATTCACAATCACAATCTTTAGATTTAAGCAAATTGGCGCCATAAAATGTTAATTCAAATTGTATCGTTTCTCTTGAATTTATTTGAGGCATTATATATCACAAATAACGGACGTCATTGAGGAAAAGGAACAATCTCAGCATCACATACAAAAATACACTATGTTGGATATGCAACTGATTTGAAAGTATATAAAACTAATTATAAATGTTTCGTTTTTGATCGAAGCAACTTTCAACTTTCAAACTAAAACATTTTCTGCAAAGGTCATAACCGATGTATTTAAAAATTAATAGTCTAACCAAGAGAATTAATATTACCTTGTATAATTTGTTGACACGCGTCACCATAGTAACCAATCGGACATCTTGGACAATTTACATTGTTGCACAGAGATTTCTGAAATATAAGTAATAAATATACTGATTCTTCTGTTCTATTCTGTTCTGTTTTGTTCTGTTCCGTAGTTTGTTATATTTGATAATAGACATGTATCTTAAAACATTCTACTTTCTTACCCGCACTTTTTCTGGGGTTCTGTTTCAATTGTATATTGTTTACTGGAAATTTAAAGGACAACCATGGTTTAAAACTCGGTGTCTTGCCAGTGATTATTTATTATCCGTAGCCAAGGACACGATAATTTCAACCAAACAAACAAGGTATGACCGGAATTGTCATCCTGTTAAAGTAAGTAAAATAAGCAAACCGGTCCAAAGTGCTGATTTGTTTTATCGAAGAAAACTAGTAAAAAATAAATTAAATACTTACCAATCTGTAACAAACTTTATCTCCAATATTTTCATGATGGAAACAATTTTCACCAGACTCAAACATCAAACATATTTTAGTTTTTCTATCAAACATGATCCTTCTACAATCTGTAGTTGTTGAACATTCGAGGAAACAGTGGTAGATTGAGGAACTGAATTGTGTCTTTAAAAGGTTATAGTACTCTGTATTCTGACAGGTAATTCTTTCCAAATATACGGATGTTCGTTCGAAGTAAGTTTCTTGAAAATGGTGTGCAGAAATTGGTAGCAAAAAGTGGAAAAACACTTTGATGTAATACAAGGTAAGTTCCATTTCCCCTTGACTGGTGTGGTAAATTGCTTACAACGATCCAGGCACACAGCTTTTAAAAATATCATTAAAATTATATATCAATATCTTATCGCAATGATTTACAAACTAAAGATGAACTCCCCGTTTTCTATCAAACACAACAGTTCCTTAATCAATCATTATCAGACGACCCAAACAATTGCTAACTTAGTTGTTTGATTTTCCTATATATGTACACTGAGCAAATAAAGAAGTGCTGCAAAAAATACAGAAAGTCGTGAACCATGTATTTATTCAAACGTTAATAATACAAAAGATAATTGTCCGAAAGCAACCATAGTCTATGCCTGTATTTTTGAAAATACAAGTGCATGTTTCTGGCTGATGCAGGTTTCATCACATACCATAATGCTTGGTACTTCCTACGGGTCTCATTCAAACACACCAGTAAAACTTTCACATCTCCTTCGCCACACTCGTACTCTGACAACTGCAGTGGAAATGTACTGACTCTTATCTAAGAACACGTGGATCCTCCACTTCTGATGCCACCAGTGTTGTCGCTGGATGGCCCACTGAAGACGTTGCTGGCGTTTATGAGGAGTGGCCATTGGACCCTGCATGGACAACGAACAGAGAAACCAGAGACGATTTTTTGTCGGCATTGATGGGTTGCGTGACGAGCTGTCTGTGCTCCTGTTATGGGGATGTTTTCGCAGAATGAGGCGATCTGGTCTTGGTGTTGTAACCCAGGGACGACCACTACGAATCTCAAGACTTTTAATGGTTCTTACACGAAAGTTAAAAGTCAAAGTCAAAATCGACAAACTAAAGAGCTATGGTATTTTTCCACGAATGAAAAGATTTGCTTCTGCAAAAGAAGATTGACAATTGATCGAAATAATTCGCGAATGAATGACTTCTGAAAACAAGTGGCCGACGACTAAACAAAAGAGTTAAGCCCCCTGCTATTTCACATTACAGGGAAAAAATCCCACCTGAAATTTTCTGAAAAGTTTAGTGACTATTTATGACAAATTATATCAGCACTTTTTAATAAGTTTCACATCGATCGTTTAAATCTACGATTACATGTGAACGTAGACTTAAACTCAAAACGTGATTACATGTGTTCGTATAAGATGATTCAGCAAAACCTTCAATGTACAAAAGGGGGGAGAAAAGTCCCTAACTGACCCAGCACCGCTCGGTTTCCTTTATATATATTTTTTTCTCTCTTTTTAGCACTCAGATATTGTGTCTGCTTAAAACGATCTCATATATACAAGCGATAGCAAGACACACAGTACATTTCTCCAGAGAAGAGTTTATTATTTTCCAGGGTTACCCGACTTCACAACTGGGACGTTACGGGCTATTGTTGTTAGTGATCCTATGTAGTAGCTAGAAGGATCCCAGGGGGGTTAGAGGCCCTGAGATCCCAACTCTAAGACATAGGATTGTTACCTGCTATTGTTGTTAGTAGGTTAGAACCTAAAAAGGGTGAGTTTTGTAAAGAAAATATTTCACTATAGTAAATGGCAGTTTTGCGGAATCGTCGTACGTACACACGTAATCACGTTTTAAATTTGAGTTACACTACGTTACACATGTAATCGTAGCTTAAAGGTTGCGACGTACTCTGAAAGTCGTGCATATGAACTTTGTTTTGTTTATGAAAAAGAAAGGCGGGGACAGTCTTAAGCTGCGATTACATATGCCTAATCCTTTCTCTCTCGAAAATAATACAATTTAGTCAATATCTTAATCTTAACAATATCTTAATCTACTGTGATATTAAAGCTAAGGAAGTCGTTTCTATGTTGGATTTTAATAACTGTAGATATCTTAATGCGATACGAAATAAATATTGTACTGAAAGATTGTTACGAGTAACCGCTAATCCCCAGAACGTCAATGATTTAACATACCCCAGTATCCTTACGTCCTACAGACTTTTACTGCTTACTTTAATTTTGTTTATATCAAGATGATTTCAATGTGATTCAACCAATGAAATGCTCTTTTCAGTCAAGGGTTTGCAACTAAAGAGGTGGAATACTCTAGCCGAAAGGGTAGACATGATCTGCCTTGCTAGAAAACAGGATGACCAATGTAACCATGTTACCTCAAGTGTTTATTATTATTACTTGTCGCCAAAGATGTTTACTACTTATCTTAACGGAGGTTCCGTTATTAATAATGATTTAAAATCTTTGACATTTTAAAGACATTGTCTCTTTTTTTTCCTGTAAATTAATTCCAGTCAGTCTCAATTTTATTAGAAAAAAGGAATAATAATAGAGAAGATAAAATGGTAAAAAGCGATACATCGATATGATTAGATATCATGTGTTCTATAAATTCTATTGTATTTTGGGATAGTTTCCAATAATCTGCTGACGTGAGTCTTATATTCTACATCGATATATCTAAACAGGTTATCACAGATCTTGTAGTCAATACAAATTGTGAAATCATACCGTCGGTTACAACGCGATACATGATAAATTCTCATGCGAGTCAGAGCCAAATTTCGGAAACCCGCATGACTGTGGACACTTTAGAATCTACTCCATCTACTAGCAATTACAAATCGATTTGCTGGGCTCACGAAATCCGCTAAGAAATGTCAACACTCCCCACCTGCCAACATCAAAACTACATCACCTCTAATCATCCCCGTCCTCCCTTTACCTCAGTCACCAATAACACCAGCCAATAACCAGCAAGGAACATCTAAATCTAAACACCCCAAGAAATAGTTGGTATCAGACGACGCCTTAGATATGGACACCAACCACGCCGCAACGACCATGAAATCCTAAAACCCATTCCTGTCATGGGTTCATCCAATATCTCTCGTGTACCTGAAATAGACCTCAACACTCAAGCCGAATCATACCCTAGAGTCCGTATCCGACATATTTTTAACATTCTATTTAAAGCTGACTCGACAGACGTACCAAAGAAAGTTATATTCCATGTAGGCATCAACAATAGACAGGAGACAGGTGAGATAATCTACAAACAGATTTTAGAACTTTTAAACCTAGCCAATTTCCAGCAGCTACCATCTATGCCACCCAGATACCCTATTCCACCAGCCAACAGAGAGTTGAACCCCATGCGAATCTTCGTCGTCATAATAATCTCATCTACCATAAGCATTTACCTGTAGCCACTAACATCCCAATTTACAACAAGACAACTAAGTTCAATATATTTGTTTGGTGACCCGGGACTACACATACAAAATACATAAAATGAACATAAACAGTAGAAAGAAGAAACTGGTGTTGACTTGACTAAATCGGTACAGAGAGATCAAGATTCAATGGAATGGTCGAGGTTTGCTCCGATCACGTCCACTGGATAGACAATGGTATCATTGATATTTGCGCTGAAATGTATGTAGAAGTATCCCTGTTACCTTTGGAATCCGAGGAGAACAATTTAACCAATTTTGAACGCGAGGCATTACAGAAATTGAAAAATGATGACAGCATCATTATCCTTAAAAGTGACAAAGGCAGTTGTTGTGTCATACAGGATCGCACTGATCGCACTATATTTTCGAATTAGATAAACAATTGAGGAATCGAAATCATCATCGCGTACTAGATAGACCAATTTCATGGAAACAGCCATAAAAATCGACGATATTTTGTATAACATTAGTAACAAAATAGTTTTTTTCTGACGCGCAGTACGACTATCTTTCAGCAAAACCAAATGCACATCAACGTCATATATATTCCTTACCAAAAATCCACAAGAATTCCGAAACTGAATGGACTGAATGTTGTGAATAAAATCCCGAAAGGCAGACCCATTATTTCTGATTGTGCCAACGAGTCATACCAAGTTTCATTATTGATCATTTTTTATTACTTTTGGCATGTAAACATCCACCTTATCTTAAAGATACTACAGACTTTATAAAAAAAATAAAAAAAATTGAATATTCCACCAAATGCATTTCATATATATCCTTAGATGTTTAGAGTATGTATACCAACATTGATAACAATTTTGGTTTAGACGCCGTCTGTAAAGCTTTTATTAGAAATCCTTCCGAAGAAAGACCTGATTTTAGAACTCCTTGAAATATGTTTAACGCGTAATGACTTTACTTTTAATGGAAAAACGTGCCTTAAAATTTCTGGAACAGCTATGGGCAAACGATTTTCTCCAAGCTATGCTAATGTCTTTATCACGTCATTACAACTTCAGCAGGAACAAGAACTCCCCACTCCCCCCCCACCCCTCCTTTACCTATTGGATTTGGCTCAAAACAATGTGGTGGTTCTACGTGTCGTACCTGCGTACATGTACCTATTTCTCACTTCTTTAAAAACAATAAATCCGGAAAACCTTTCTCTTGTTTGACCAACTTTCATGCGGTGACCAAAATCTTATTTACCCAATTTCATGCCACATACAGTATATTGGAGAAACTAAGAACGCGTTGCGAACTCGTTTTAATGGCCATCGCTGTGATATAGTGCATGGCAAAAGTAGACCAATATCCAATCACTTTAATCGACCCGACCATTCCATTGAAGACTTGGTGATCATACCGATTGAAAGGAACCACACGGCTGCCAATGCCTCAAATGTCATTAAACGCCATTATAAGCATCTTCAAGACCAATATCCCCATTTGTATAGCAAGAGACTTGTTCCAGCTTACAGGAGAAATAAAAATCTCAATAATATCCTAGTCCATGGTAGGCTTGTCCCTCAACATTCTTTTAATACACAAACAAGTTAAGATTCGATTTTTTAGCAATTTTCTA